CACTAATGTGGCTATGATGGTGATGAGAATATCACGTACAATTAGCAATACTTCCATCACTAATGTGGTTATAGTGGTGATAAGAATATCACATCCAACTAGCAATACTTCCATCACTAATGTGGCTATGGTGGTGATACGAATATCACGGTTAGCTAGCAATACTTCCATCACTAATGTGGTTATAGTGGAGATAAGAATATCACGTACAACTAGCAATACTTCCATCACTAAAAACGTGGCTATGGAGGTTAGTATCTCATGACTTTTGCCCTATTGCGTGTGAATCGGTAACGTGCTGAACGGCAGGAGAGTATGAGTATAGCCTCAGGCGTGCAAACGTGGTACAGTACAGACTGCTTCTTCTGGAGGCTCCAATTATCCTTGCGTCGAGGTGCTCTCCAGTGTTTATAGAATAAACGTGCGTCGAACATGCATTAGGGTCTAGGGGGTTTTTAGGGTTTAGTAGGTAAACGCACATGACATCATCGCAGCCACCTCCACCTTTAATATACGATCAAATGGTATCTATCGATCGCGCGTTGACATAGGAACCAAATAGAGCGAGCGTGTACCGAACATGCGCTTGTGGGGACAAAATGCCGAGAACACGATCAAAATTGTAACTGCGGAGCTAACGCACAGCGCATGAATGCACGCAAAAAAACCATGTTCACGCCGTCCTGAATACTGTATGTATATGGCTCAAGGTACCTGTATGTCTCCATATGCCGATCAGAAACACTATATATGTATATATATATATAGCTTGAGATAGCTGTGTCTCCTGATCTTAGGCTGTATGGACGCTAAAAAGTGCTATGCCAGGGACTCTCCTATAGACATACAACCACCCATGTACACGCATACTTGTATAAATATGTGTGAAGAAGGTCAATGTACACAATGTTAAGGGTGGTTTTAGGGTTATATGGGTTAAGGTTTGGGGTTTAAAGGGTTTACTAGGCCATAGCGTTCCCTATATAGTTGGCTATGTATACACGCTTTGTATAGTACCGAACTGCGTGTACAAAGCGCATGCGACACTACGCCATACACCTCGCTAACCCCCTAAACTTAAAATAACCGGAGCTCACTGTCCCGTGTAGTCCGTACGTTATGTTGTCGCAAGTAGAATACTTTGTCATTTTTTTTGTTTTCTGAACCAAGTCACGCATAAATGGTGGCTTGCCGTATAGAGTATACATTGGCTCTATACAGATATATCTATGTCCTTAGCGTTATTACAAGTATGCGTGTATATGGGTGGTTGTAAGTCTATAGTATACATTGGCTCTATACAGATATATCCATGTCCTTAGTGTTGATACAAGTTTGTGTGTGCATGGGTGGTTGTGAGTCTATAGTATACAATCACCCTTGTCAGATAGACCTATCTATTAACTCTTTGATATCACAAGTACGTATGGACATGAGATGTGGTAATTCGTTCGTTCATATGTGTAGGAGCTAGTCCCGGTTGTTCACACCACAGAGAATAACATTCGCTCGTATTTCTGAGCCGCTTTGTTGGTATTTAGAAGCTTACCTCGCTTGTACTGGCCTCAGCGAAGCTCTCGTATGCATCCTGTGACAGAACCTATGAGAGTGAAAATAACATAAGCGTACAAAATCATCAATCCATGAGAGTGAATATAACATAACGTACAAAATCATCAGTCTAAACATCATAGATGGCATTGCCATGTACAGGTCACAGCAGTCACTTACGTATTAATGTTGTGTCGCGTGTATGTGGGCATGAAGCGCTCTTCGCAGATGCATGCTATATATACATACACCCACCCACATAATATATATATATATATATACATATGACTGGAACTAGAGAGGCGACCCGTCGTGGATCGATATTCATTTTGCACAGGAGAGACGTATCCTCTGCAACTGTGCGACGAGCGTTGCAACATGAAGTGATCCGTAGACTTATGCAATGAACCAGTATCACTCACACGATACAGACACATGATACACACAAGTGCACAACTATGATACAGACACATGATACACACAAGTGCACAACAATGATACAGACACTTAGACCGCTACAGCACAATGGTCGCCCTTCGCAGACTGAAATACACGGGGGTAGAGGTCACTGGAGCGCCGTTTATAGATAGAATAGACGGAACGAACGATATGATGCAACTCACAGATTGTATATAAAACCACCCAGGGGAATACAACTATAACGATCGTATGAGTTAACGTATATAATAGGGTCTTTACCTTCATCCGTAGATACAAAAAACACCCGCCTAAATAACTACCGGAGCATAAGCGATAAAAAAAATTGGGCAAGAAACAATTTGTAGATAATATTAAACATATTACACGTAATAAAAATTATGAATAAGCCATATGTGTTCTATTTATATAGAGTACGTACCTCAGCCCATTGATACGAGAGATAGCCGCATGAAAAACTACAGGTATTTAAGTGATAACAAGGTTGCGCAGAAAAGCACTGGGGATAGCATGACACGGATCAACACGTCATATTTGGTCTTATGTATACAACAGAGTACTTACCTCAGCCCATTTGTACGAGAAGTAGCCGCTTGAGTAGCCGCCAGCGAATATATGACTGAAGCCGCACAGGAACCGATCGGTGGGTAACGGCGTGACTACGTCTCTCTCTTTGCGCAAGGTCTGCCACTGTTCGAACGGGTTTTTGGGATCGGTCTGCAGATTACGAGCACAATGGGTCAGAAAAGAAAAGGGGGTGATAGTAGTGTGTGTGTGTGTGGAGGGTGCTTGTATAAGAAATGCGGTGGTGGTGGCAGCGTGTGTGTGTGTGTGTGGGATGCTTGTACAAGAAAAGGGGTGGTGGTAGTTTGTGTGTGTGTGTGTGGAGTGCTT